CGCACACACATATATTTCTAGATTTTTACAAAATAAAATCTTAATAAAAATTATTGTATCGCTATGTATTGTTTTTATGTTTAACTTAGAATAGCAAAAAATTATTTTTATTTTTGATTAGAAAGATTTATATTTCGATTGGGAAAGATTCGATAAAAAATAAATAATCTGTTTATTTTTATCTATTTATTTTTATAAATATTTAAATTGATTTTATGATTTTCCTCTGTTTCTACAGGAAATATATTACATAAAGAAGTTTTTATAATAAATAGATAACACAAGAACAATACACATAAAATCCAAAAAATAGTAAAAAATTTTTTGTAATCGATAATAATATACACTGACAATAATTTATTAGTTTTCCATGTAATATTATTATGTTTCTTCGAACTTGTGCGGTGCGCACTTAAATCGAAAATATAAAGATAATTTATTAATTATAAAGATAATTAAACAATTAAAACAAAATTTAATATAAAAAAAAGTTTCAAGGTCACTTCAACGGTTTTTGTATAAAATATGTAAATGTCGATATAAAATCTGTCCTCGATAAACTATTTATAATGTATCGGAATTCATATTGTGAAGAAAATTTCATCCGAGCTATTGTATAAATACATAAGTATTTGAATAATCCTGAGTAAACACAGGAAAAAAACATTTAAAAGAAAGCAAAGTAGAAAATAATCCTACGGTCACACGATTTTTCCACTGTTATCCATGTAACTTCAAAGATATTGACTCGCGGATCGTCCATTTTATGCTATTCAACGGACCGTTATAAATTTTATTCGGGACAGTTAGATAAGTGAAGGCCGAATAATGCATCTTGGAGTTAGGGCAATGCAGGTCGAGTCTCCAGAGGAGGAGGAGGAGGAGGAGGAGGAGGGGAGAGGTGAGGTGGAGGGTGGGGGGGGGGGGTAGAAATTTCACGTAACCTGCTTTTTCTTGGGAGCTGGAACAAGGTCAGCGTAGCGCAGCTTCGAAGGGCGATGAATATGTTGGGTGGCGAGGCGGACGGGCAGGCGGGCAGGCGGGCAGGTGGAAATGCGCACGTGTGCATAGGCCTGAGGACACCACTCGTGGACGCACCAACTCGGACGCGTACGCGCGAGCGACAGGCGCGGCGACTTTGCCGCGCAGCGAGGTAGCGCGTAATAATGTCCCATTGTGTGTGTCGTCGCGCACGTGAATATCCGAGACCGTTGGGGAAGGTCGTGTTTCTCCGCCGTTTCCCGCTCACCGCGCGTGAATAAGCGCAGATCGGAAATTAATTCCTATTACCATTCCGCGAACACGAGGATTCAACACCGCGACGATTCTTTTTTCCCCTCTTCCCAGAGATCTTCAAATTGTCCGCGTACATTTTTGAGACGATGTCTTATTTTTATTTAATAAAATATCTTAAAAAGTTCAGTCTTTTAGAAAAAAATGAAAATTGATAATGAAGATATGATATGGTAAATGGTAAATGGTGAATAGTAAATTTAATTTAATTCATTAATTTTCACAAATGCGTTTTAATAAGATTTCTCAAGCGAGCTACGTAATAGTCGAAATGACAGTTATGTAGAAATTAGATTGAGATTTCCTTACAGGAACGTGTATGCTTTCTCAATTTAGTGGCGATCAATAACGAGGATTCATTATGAAAGGTCCATTTCTGACCGTCCAAGAAGGAGATGGCGTAGATGGGTGGTAAGTATTTATTAAAAGATGAATCTTGGAGCATAAGGAATTATAAATTATGATCGCATATCGATTTAAAGTGTTTTTAGATTTAAAAACGTTTCGGAAAAATTATTTTCTCTCGCTTTGAGTAATAGAACCGTTACTAGTAAATGTTTATATGCTTTATCGTTTAACATACTATTTGCAACATTTAGATGCATTTGGCTTTGTATAAAGATATATTATTGATAACTGAATGTTTAATCTAAACAAGAAGAAAAAATAATTTAAAGATTTATATTAGGTTAGCATATTTTATCAAATCGTATCATTTTCATACATTTGGTAATATAATTCTATTTGTATTTAATTGATTTACAGTTACCGTATAAATATAGCTCGGAGTATTACTCGAGTATTACATCACCATAGATATTGAAATACGCGAAATGTTTTGTATATTAAATTCCATCAAGAATCAGCACCACGCCAAGAATTGCAATCTGCATATAGAGCTGCATTAATCTGAAACACACGAATAGCCTAGAAAAAAATTACGAGAAATCTCCTTCCCTTGGAGTTAAGAAAATAGATTTCTATGAGAAGAGGAAGCTCACCCTTGAGATCTCTCGGCTTTAAGGGATTTCCCAAGTCACATGACCCAAAATGGATCCTGGGTAATATTCCATTCCTGATTTGTGGAATCACGACGAATTCAGATTGTATGCATCCTATTAATGCATTCTAAGCAGGATTTTGGATATAATACGTTAATCCTAACATATGCGAAACAACAATTCCGATAAACAATTTAAATTATTTATTTCCTTCTGTATTGATTCGACATCTAAATAAAAAGAGAATGTATATCGAGGCAAAATTCTAAATGTAACAGGAAATAGAAGTGTTTTATGAAAATAATGTTTAAAAATATACTATTTACATGAGTAAGCTATAGAAAAGTGGTTAATTAATCAAGAATTATATTATATTTTTTTAGAATTATCGAAAAAAATATTTTCTTCAGGATATTGTGTTAACTGTGTATTATAGTAGTAAAATCTATGTACGATCGGGCATGATACAACTCAATTATATAAGCAGAATATATAATTCTCTAAAAAGAATTACGTGTACATTTTTATACACACATACATTACTTTAAATGTAAAAAGTTCATATATATGATAAGATGTAAAAAAGATTTTATAAAACATGTATTAAAACTAACGAACCGATTGCTTCGATGCATCCCAGCACTGTCTCGAAGTGGCAAGGCTTATCACGAAGTAAATAAAATTTTTATATTTTATAATATAATTACAAAGATAATTACAAAGAACATATCAAAATATATGTACAGTGTATCTTATTGTTTCGAATTACAGTTGTTTTTTTTTTTTACAGATTTAATGGAAATTTTTTACACTAATAAAAATGCGATACGGCTCGATAAACAAAAGTAAAGCAATCAATAAGATTTCAAATGACCTACTTGTATTTACCTTAATGTTCGCAATTTTTTATAATTAATCGACCGTGCGGCAGCGATCTCGTTAACCCTCCTTCGTCCAAGGTGTCTGGATGAACGCAGTCGTGAAAAAAGGCATGTAACGTGTAAAATCGGCGGCGGACGTCGCTCCGGAGCGGATAATGGAGCGTGACGAACCTCTGATTGCCGCTCTGAGGAGAGAACGCTCGCCATTGGACGCTGATAAAAAAGTAGCAGGTGTCAGCCGACGACGGCGGTCGTTGTAAAAGCGAGCTAAAAATATAATGTTCACTCGCGCCGCGTTGGCGTAAAATCGCGGCTCGTTCACGCGGCGTGTCCATCGATGTGACCCCGATATGTAGTCGCGATATTCGTCGACTCTGAAAAAAAAAAGAGCGCATCGCCTTTTGTTGTCCTTTGTTGATAAAATCGCAATAGACGGCGCGAGACAGTCGACGTGAGTAGACATTATTTTTCAAAGACTGGATGTGTGGCTGATGCGTCGTAAGAACGTCTAGTAATGTTTAAATAAATGAAAAATAAAGTGAATATAAAAAATATATATAAATTATTACTTATTATATATTAAAAGATTGTTATATATTATAATATGCTAATTTTGTTATATATAAATATGTTGAAATTATAAAATTAGTATAAGTCAAACTTTGGTTTTGTGATGATTCTACTCTAAGAAGTCTCTGCCTTTTTTTGTTATTTGGATTTGCAATTATAGTTTCTAATTTTCAAAGATATTACAAAGAAAACATTATATATAATGTCTTATAGAAACATAAATATTATATATATATATATATATATATATATATATATATAT